AAGTCAGCCAATGGAAGAGGGATTACCTGATGCAGGTATATTGCTTGCATGGCCCTTTTTGTCATTTGTCAGGGGCCTTCATGTGTTGCATAGCTTTTTCATTCTCTTCTCTGACTCTCTTACTTCAAGGATGGCTTACTTCTTTTTGGAGATTGATAACGGGTAACCATTCAGAATCAACTGAACAACCAAACGAGGGTATGTTCAGCTACTGAAGGACACTGTGTCTGACATATCTTTCTTCTTCTTTTTTACTATATATGCATTATTGATAGACGTCTCAATACCACCAACTGAAGAAAATGAGCTAAAACAATTGTTACTCAGCTCAGGGGGACCAGAAGTCCTTAGTAACTGGCATCGTCTGTTGGGCCAGGTGTTGTTTGGAGCGTTGTACCGTGGACTCATCTACTACGCCATTCCCTGGGACAGCTCCATCATGAGCTGTGCTGTACTTATCATTCCTCTTGGGACTGCCTTTGGCACATACATGGTCAGCAATGTGGGTCGACAGAGGAGCCATATCTGTTACTCCCTAATCGGGGCATACGTTAGTGAGTTTTTCAGTCTTCTACTCTTCAAAAGCAGCAACCCACTATTAGTGGCTGGAATATCCATGATGTTCTCAACCTGTGGCTGGAAATGGAGACTAGAGAATGAGGATGTATCATGGGGGAAATTGCTGTTGACCGTGTTTTCGGTCTACTGCCTGTTGGTTTTTCTGTGTGGCTCTTACATGTATTTCAATGCAACTCTTGAGACAGAGGATGGGGAGTCGATCAAACTTCATGATGCCTTCAACAACTTTTTCAACTCTCCAGCGTGGCAGGAGTCAGACAGCCGAGTAGGGAGCTTATGAAATTGGAACACACTAGTGGGTTGAAGGAGCAGTGCTTGACAAGTTCAAAGAGCTTAGCCGAGACTAGATGGCGGAGTATTGTGCCTATGACATTTTGGAATTGGAGCCGGGGACAAAGTTTGAGGAGGTGCGAAAGAGGTACAAGGAGCTGGCAAAGGAATGGCACCCAGACCATCATCAGGGGAAAGAGATGAAGATGAAAGCTCAAGAAAAAAAAAAAAAATTTTTTGGTTTTTGGCAATCCAAAAATGCCGTACAAAGTTCTGAAACGGTTTCCAAAGCTGGAGGGAAAAAATAAGACAAAGTTTGACTCTGATCTGTTTAGTAGGAAAAAAACCCGAGATAAAGTATGTTCATAATTATTATAATAATAGTTAGCAGGCTGTATATTTGCTTCTTGTGTTGTGCCCATATATAATATGTCTCTGTGCATCCTACAGAAGAAAAACCAGCCATACCATTGTAACATATGACATAATGTATACAAGAGTATAAACCATTTGAGAATTAATTACCGCATAGTTGATCGGTTGAATTCCAATTTGCAAGAACGTCCACCAAGATTAGACTTTTACAGGTTACTGTAAAACATGTCACCATCCAGTCATGCCATCATAGCACATGGGATGTAGCTAAGATACACAGGTGCGAGGTAGCCTTTTCTTGCTACGGACCATGAGGTGGTCTGAGAATAGAGGGTGGATCACTATCACACCACCTACTAAGAGGATAACTCAACATTCTATGCACAACGAGTGATCCACGACTTCTGTCTGCTACAGACACACCTGCAACAAGAATAAGTGTTTATTACACTGTGAATGTCAACTGCCTCAGACTACAACTTCAAACATCCACGATCTACAGCATGCAGCTAGCTGATATGAAACACACACTTTCACGATAATAGCTGCAGTCACACATTTTGTGTAATTAGCTAATCAGCGTACAATATGAACCCAGTAAAGGAGATATGTGTAACACTGAAAATGATGAGCAATCAGCTTAGATTGCTGCCTAAGGTTGGTGTGGAACAAAGGAGAGTTTTAGCAGAATGGAGGGCTGATCTACTTCACATATCACATAACTCACGACCACGCCACCAAATGTATTCATGGATCTACCTATGTCGACGCAGCGTGCTGTGATAAGTATTCATCGGGGTCTGCTCAGTGAGAATGTTTACTATAGGAATGCAACGCATAGTGTGGCGAGCGAGCGCGAACACATCATTCGTTACGGTTCAAGCAGTTAGCACTGAAGTGCAAACCCTCGGCGAACTGGGCATGGGCGGTACCGCCGCTATTAGTAGCTATGTGGTCTCCACTCTAGTAGCTCGCGGAGAGTCTGACAGGGCTAGCTACAGCACTATATAGCATGCGGGAGTCGATACACGCCCTTCGTTGTGACTTGTTGTGCCTTCAGTAGCAGTACACAGAGCAAGCGAACCCGCTCGAGGTAAGCCTGTTCTTATTAGCATTATTGGTTTTTTCGCTCTTGTTCACGCCGTAGACTCCCGAATCTAACTCCCGAATCTAACTCCCGAACACAGCAGTTTCAGTGAAAACCCCACATATTTTTCTACCTTTATATCCGACGCTGAATGTGTGGTATTGTTTGTGGAGCGCTTTATGGCTCGTGAAGTGAGATGTCGATGTAGTGTTATTTCTTAAAGCTAACACCAAAAAATACCCATGTTTTCACTCGGTGCCTACTATGGTAACCTAGCAGACACACGCGACAACCGCCGTAACCTTCTCTGCGCATGCGCGCACCGTGCTGGTCACGCAATTATATACTATATACGAGAATGTTGAGCATTGTTGGCGAGGGGGAGCGACCCAATTCAATTGGGGCTGGGCTGAGCACAATGAGCCTGTGTTGTCAGCCTGGTTTAGAAAGTGGTCCAAAGAAATCGACGTTATGATAGGTTGCACATGCTGAGAAAGGTCGATTTGTTCTGTCCTGGCACATGTAGTGCCGACCAGTAGCGCGCCTCCTTTGTTTGAGTCGTACCCGGCGTCGGCTGTCTCGGAGGCTAGGCGCCGCCTCCTGGAAGCCCGTTCCCGCGCTCGACGTTGGTACAAGCGCGTCGCTCGGTTGTTTCGCACGCCCGCTAGACGGAAACTTTCGAATTAGAGTCCGGAAATAATCTATCGTACAGTACTCAGGCAATTAAAGTATATATATCTACGTACAAGAGTTACAAAACGAAAAAGTTTAACCAGAGATCAGTGTGACTTCGAAGAATCACTCTTGTTGTTGCTTTTCATATATCTTGCAGCTAACATAACTAGTGCAATTAATAAAAGAATACCACCTAGAAAGCAAACCATAGTCACTACTGGTTCAAGTCCTTTAATTTCGAAGATTGTTATTGTGCCAAGTCCTGCAATCACAACAGTACCCACCGCCACTGTAGAGGGTGCAACAGCAGCAAGTTGTTCTAGTATGTATCTAATGTAACAGCAACTTACTGCTGGCTTGAGTAGACATTGTCAGCTTTTCCAAAGTAGTGTAAACAGTAAACCTGGTTTTTTTGGAGGGTGGAACAAATGCACGCCCTTCTCTAAGCTATGGAGATAAGTATCGATAAGCATAGTTGTGATTAACTCAATGTATGCTGAATTCATTGTTGAGGTGAGGTGGTGGTGAATTATGTTGTAGGTGTGTGGAAGAGACTGTCCCAGAATACTATAATATTCATAATGCAAGCATGTGAGGAAGATAAGAAAGATAAACTGTAGAAAAACGTAAAGTGGGATAGGGAGAAGGGGAGCAAAAAGGGCCTGGGAACGAGGCTTAGCACCGATCAACGTGCAGGACAGATTATGTTATATTTCTAGTGCGGCACGCGCAGCAATGATAGCGCAAGCGCAACTGCAAAACATGAGTTTATTCAGTTGTGTAGTACACGAACCTTTCTTAGCTTTTGTCTTCATCTGCTCTCCATCGGTCTGGTCAGCCACATCCCCACTAACTCATTGTACTTCTTTCTAACCTCCTCAAATATAATAAGTACGTCTTCCACAGTTCTGGAATATCATATATTAAGTCTGACGTGATATACTGCCCAGTTGGAGAGTTTACAACTTCATAAAAGCATCTCCAACCTTAAGCGACTCTCCATCTTCTGTTTCATTGTTAACAGCCACAGAGACTGTCAGTGCTATAAGCACCCATTTCCATTTCCAATCCTTTTCTCCCAACCACATGAATTTGAGATGTTTGCTGCGAATGAAGCCAAAAAAAGGAATGGTGGAGTTTCTGAATGACAGAGAAAATTTGGAAGAAGACATCTCTTAATGGCATTCCCCTCTATTTGGAACAAAAAAGAAAACTATCCCGAAACTATTGGCACAGTTATAATATATATGCCTCCAGAAATCTGCAAACATAAGCGCTTGAAGAGACTATCATGTACCAATAAGGACTGCGTAAAATCATGGGATTTGATTAGGTGTTTTTGCTCTAAAGATACAGGTTGATTATACTGATTTGAAAAATCATTGAATAACCATTGAATTCAATGAAAGACTAAGCAAGCGAGTCTATACAATTCACATCCTCTCTGACTTTGTTGTAATGCTTAGCTACTATACATAGTCCTCAGCTTCATCTCTCATCAGTAGTTTCCCTCATCACTATGAATTAGCTATAGCGTTTAGCTAAATTCTGGGTCATCATTGCCATCTTAGACATCACATGACTGTTGGCAGCTTTTTGAAGGCCCTCAACCAACCTTGCAATAAGCCTCAACAGCCTATGTTTGTATTATACCAACTTCCATGTGATACATTGGACTGAGCAATGGATGGTACGCTCATCTGCTAGTGAATTCTTGATTAACGCTTGTGTTAGATTCCCTTATTAATAAGCGTGTTCAGTAAACCTTACACCCTTAGTCAGTCGCATTACATGCATAATAATAGACTTTATGAGTTAGGATGGCGATAGGAGTGCAGATGACAGCAATGACTGGAACCGACGATATTTCTAGTATTGCGCGCGATCCCGGGGTGTCTGATGTATACGTAGCATGCTGCAGAAGGCTAGTGTATTCATGAATAACGAACGACACAACCACAGTGACTGTTGCTACGATACAAGACTCGAATTTCATGGTTGCCAAGTCGCCTGTTATTCATTGCCCGTGAATAATCTAATCATGCAACAGTGCGCAGCCTCACGGATGCTATATAGAAGATGTTGGCGAGCGGCAGGATGAGCGTACGTCGTGCTACTGCGCATGCGTCAGGATTACGCGCTTCTTCTTATCTGAAAATAATATTTCAACATTTTCACACCTTGTAATTTTGCGGTCTTAATGCGCGTGTGATACGTCGCCGTCGCTCGCGCCATTAGCTAGGTTAACTCGCTTCCTCTTGCCAATGATTATAATTCCATGTTCGTTTCTCATTATAGCTTAGCAAGTCAGACAAATACATTCTTCAATACTGTCTTCCAATACTCCTCCAAATATAAATATCTCAGGTGATTCATTGGCTACCAAACACCTCCTCCTGCCAGTAACCATAATACCAATAACATCCACCCACTTTTGGCCTGCTAGCTGTTAAATACGGTCAAGTGATGACTTCATCACCACCACCAATGATTATAAGGCTCTCCACGTAGAGTTGCTGCTGTCGAATCCTTCTTAGGTAGAGTGGGGAGAGCCCTCCATGAGACTTAGGCGAAGTAGAGTTCAGTGGGTGTGGTATTGGTTGGCAACACAGTAGTATATCCATGAGTATCTATTAGTTTAGTATCACTTCCTATTACATGCAATCGATCACCACATTATTGCGGCTGAAGGGCTAGGGATTGAACCTTTAACCCTTTGGGCGCCATAGGTGCCTCCTTAAATAAGCAGAAATTGATGTATAACATATTAGCGCCTAGTATTATAGCCCTATATAAATTCTTATGCACTTATGGAGGCTCCGTGCATATTATATGTAAATGGCGCCCAAAGGGTTAACTGAAGGGAAACACAAAGTTGACTTTATATCATAATTTAGTTTCTGTTCTACTGCTAAAAGCCTAAGTATGGCAAACAATAATCGAGGAACACACACATGCATGAGCACACTTTTGAATAGCACACATGATGCGTTCCTCAGTGCATGACAATCTAATAATCATTATAGAAATGAATAGCATGCACATGCACAGGGCATACCTGTGTTGGTTGTTGTGCATGTGTACACATCACTGTGTGGCCAGGAATGCTCTAAAATATGAGAACCAGCAGTATTCATGGTGGATGGTAAACTTTAATGAATAAAAGTGGCATGATTATCTCATGCAGAAGGCCTGCTGCCTGTACTTTTAATATCACTATACACAATGCATGTATGCAACTTTGTTGCCGGAGGTTCTCAGGCGATTCATTGGCTACCAAACACCTCCTTCTCCCAGTAGACATCATACCAATATAACATCCACCCACTTTTGGCCCACTAGCTGGTGTATACAGTCCAGAGATGACTCTCCAAACCCACCTCCAATGACTACCAGCTCCCCACAGAGAGTTGCTGCTGTCAAATCCTTCTGAGGTAGAGTGGGGAGAGCTCTCCATGTAGACTTGATGAAATAGAGTGCAGTGGATGTGATATCGGTTGACGATGCAGTAATAGTTCCTGAAGAGAGCATGAGTAGCCATTAGTATCACTTCCTATTACATAGAGCCAATCACCACATGTTGCGGCTGAAGGGCTGGGGAGAGGTCCTGGCATATGGGCCACTTTGTGCCACGTTTTGCTTTTCACTTGGAGTACATATTTCGACAGTTTTAGTCTAATGTCAATTATTAGTGCACCCTCCAATGACGACATTGCGTTGCATTCCTCATGCGTTCCTGCGTTCCTCGGTGCATGACACTCTAATAATCATTATAGAAATGAATAGCATATGCTTGGCACACCTGTGTTGGTTTTTGTACAGGTGGTGATAGTCAGGTAGTGATGGTGCAGGTGTGCAAGTAACTGTGTGGCCATGAATGCTCTAAAATATGAAAACCAGCAGTATTCACAGTAGATGGTAAACTTTAATGAATAAAAGTGGCATGATGATCTCATGCAGAAGGAATAATATGCCTGCTGCTGTAATTATGCACAATGCATGTATGCAGCTTTGTTCCATGAGGTAAAGTCTTACATGTAATGTTCCTGTACAGTATTACCTTTCTTGGTCTAGCTGTAGGTTGTAGATTAACTGTCTCGTATGGTGTGTGGTGGGGTAGAGGGTGTGGTGGTAGAGCTGGTACTACGTTCTGAGAGTTGAGAAAGCAACTTACCTCATTGCGAAGTGTACGGAATATATATATTATATATATATGCCAACACAAGGCATGTCTTTTTACGCTATTTGTATACATAGGCCTCAATGCACGCAACTTTTGAAATTTGTGGCCACATAGCAAGAGAGAAGGGGGCTCTTCTGAAGTCATATGCATCATGAGAGAAGTCAAAATGCAGATGACCTACGTATACACAATGAAACACATTTCATTTATTGATGGACGTATGGATGTGTATGCTAGGAAAAGACTCTGTCTAAGCAAAATGCAGTGGGTGCTGATTTTACATCTCCAGGCTGCGACAAAATTTCTAAACATTAATTTCCAAATATGTGTGTTGGTTGTTGTGCAGGTGTGCACATCGCTGTGTGGCCGCAGTATTCATGGTAGATGGTGAACTTTTATGAATACTAATAAGGTTCCACAGTTACCTCATGCTGAAGGTATATCATAGCTATCGTTTTAAGGCCATGATACACAATGCACAACTTTGTTGCTTGAAAGTTGAATGCAACGTTGCATCCTGCATCATGAACACAGTAATACTTTTCCTGGTTTAGCAGTTGGTTGTTTCTTAACCATCTCGTATGGTGTGCTGTGGGATTCTGTGAGTTGACAAAGTATTGGCACGGTTATATTAGCTATGCTTCCTGAAATCTGCAAAACATAAAACACTTGAAGAGAATATCATGTACGAATAAGGACTGCATAAAATCACGGAATTTGATTAGGTGTTTTTGCTCTTGATTTTTTACTAAATTCACATAACCGTGATTGAACAACTATTAACTACTGGAAGCAAGCAAGTTCGTTTCGCTTAAAAAGTAAGAAAGAATGTATAGACTTGCTTGCTTGCTTCCAGTAGTATTATAGAAGGTGCAAAGACAAGGAGTAGCTTCTAAAGGTAATGAAAGGTTTAAAACATGAGTTGAAGCCATGACATGAACAGGCAAGTCTTCCATGTCGTAATCTGCACCTATATAAAATATGGAAGGCCTACGTATGGCAAACAATAATCGAGGAACACACACATGCATGAGCATACTTTGAATGATGCGTTCCTCAGACACTCTTATAATCATCATAGAAATGAATAGCATGCACATGCACGGGGCATACCTGTGCTGGTTGTTGTGCAGTTGATGCAGGTGTGCACATCGCTGTGTGGCCATGAATGAGAACCAGCAGTGTTCACGGTAGATGGTAAACTTTTATGAATACTGATAAAGTTGCATGATGATCTCATGCAGAAGGTATAATAGGCTTGCTGTACTTGTTAGGCCATGATATATACACAATGCATCTTTGTTGTGTGAGGTGAAGTAAAGTTGAATGCAATGTTGCATCCTGCATCGTGGTCACAGTAATAGCCACCTTTCTTGGTTTAGCCGTTGGTTGAAGATTAACCATCTCATATGGTGTGAGGTGGGGTAGAGCTGGTACTACGTTCTGAGAGTTGTGAGAGAATAACACACTTCACTGTGACGTTTGTGATATGCTAAAACAAAGCATGTGTCGTTGTTAGCAATTTGTATGCATAGGCCTCAATGCAGGCAAGTTTTGAAGTCTAGGATGCCTGTCAAGTAAAAACTGACTACATGCCAAATTATACTGACACTTACATACACAAGAGACAATGCATGTGTCTATGTCGACATAATGTTTTGAGCTAGAGCTTCATGCAGTATTTACCATAAATCTTTGTGATACAGTACCAGCGGTTTTTTTTTTTCATTGGGGCCAATATGTTTCTTCTTATCATTCTTTATTTCCGAGAGAACGAGTATATACTTCACACTGTTTGCTTTGGTGAATGCAAACTTGAGAACGTAAGCTGTGAAACTCCATTTTGCTTACTTTGAAATGCAAATAGTAACTGAACGAAGTACACCTGCTATGCTGTACAGCACAACAAAAATCATACATCCATCCCTACATCTTTAT